TGTTACATTTATGAAGTTGACAATAAGAAAATCATCATGGCATAAAAATTAGTGAGTAGTATAATATTCTTATTGCTTCCTATATTGAAACTACATCACTATAAACATTTACGATCAGTCCATAAATGACTGATACAAAAAAATATCTTTGTGGAGCTGTTAAACTGTTATTTTAAATGCCTTTATAAATAAATCAGCAGGCTTTGGTTTTGCTTATTAGTCATTGGCATAAACAGGGTATGGGTATAATTACCTAAAGCAGAAGTATCAAAAAATATGCTCCAGTCCTTCGGTTCCTTTTCACTGCGGCATAATCCTAATGTAGATGTTACCATTAATTGAGGAACACAAATGGGGAAGGAAATCAGTGGCAAAGCTTAACCAAACCTTAAGAGATTCTGATAAAATTAACACGAAGAGTAAGAGAATTCTATCGGTGTTTCAGCTGGATTTGGGTGGCATTAAAATGAAGTAAAAACCAATGGATCATTATTTGTTGGCTGGCATGTCAATTATCCTTAAAAATAGGAAAACAGAAACTTGAGTCTGGGCATGTTACAGTATTGACTGAGTATTACTTGGGTTGAATGGCTTAGAAGAGGACACATATTTAGACACAGTACTGTGTATGGGCTAATGCAGCAGTAAGTGATGAAGTATTGTCTTTGCCACAAAAGCAAATTTGGCTTTTAACTGCAAGCACTTCATTGAAATGTTGTGTCTGAATAAGCAGCGTCCATAACGACAGCAGGAACAGAAGGAAGAAGAATGTGTGTAAGAGAGATGCTGATAGAATTTACAGGTAATCCTTGACTTACAACCATAACTAAGTCTAAAATTTCTGTTGCTAAGCAAAATAGTTGTTAAGTGAGTTTTGCCCCATTTATGACCAACCTTTCTTGCCACAGTTGTTAAGTGAATCACTGCAGTTGTTAAGTTAGTAACAGGGTTGGCAAGTGAATCTGGCTTTCTCATTGGCTTGCCAGGTGGTTACAAAAAGTGATCACATGGTCTAGGACCTGCAACTGAACCAATTGCTAAGTATCTAAATATTGATCATGTGACCAGGGGGATGCTGCAACGGCAATAAGTGTGAAAAATGCTCATAAGCAAGGGTGGGTTCTACTTACCTTTACTACCGGTTTGCAACAGGAGCGCGCACATGCGCAGATTGTCAATGATGATGTCTGGGCGTCAAAACCAATAAATGAAATGAAATGAAAAGGGCAGGTGGGCGGAGTCTCTCGCGGCTTTTACTACCGGTTCGCAAGAACCGGACCGAACCGGGAGCAACCCACCACTGGTCATAACTCACTTTTTTCAGTAAGGTTGTAACTTAGAACAATCACTGAACCAATAGTTGTAAGATGAGGACTACGTATACATCATGTAAGGATTAGGGTTACAAGGGAATGCTGCTGGCAGAAGCAGCCACAACACCTGTAAGAATCCTGCAGGGGACACAAAGGGGCACTCTTCCACTGCATTTATATAAATTTGTGGAAAAAGGAAGAAAAAGATACCAACTCATTTGGTCATGGTGAACCATATCTATATGCCCTGGTCATACACTAGTTACAAGTATGGATAGGAACCAGAAAACTGGTGCCACAGAGGACAGTTTACTAGAGGTACAGAAGGGACCCAGACAATATGTGAATCCCGCCTTGTGAAGTTTAATGGGCTTCAGGTTTTATGTGGATGTGTTTCTCTCCTAAGGCAGCCCAAAAAGAGTCATGAAGGACAGCAACCAGATGAAAGGCCAAGCCAGCGGCTCCATGCAGCAACCAAGAGGAGCTTAGTTATTGGTTGAATCAAATTAAAGAACAGCAGAGAAGCCATGTGGCTCTATAAGGCCATCCCAGAATGCAAAAATCACTTTTGAAGTGAACCAGGAAAGTCTGCTTGCAGGCTGCCTCTGTGCTGGGATAGACATTTGCTGAGGTAAATGTCATAGTACATTCACATCCTCTTAAGAGTAGCCACTCATGCAAGAAACCATGCCAGCAAAGACTATGTCAGCAATGGGAACACAAATGCACATTACATCACCTTAGGTTCACTTGTGCCTTCACAGATAGTGATAAATTCAGAACCCCAAAATGACAAACTTTATTGTTCATAAGGAGTGTAAATCTATCTAAGATAGTTTTTCCTTTCCATAATACATTCCTTCTTTTCTACATTAAATGTCAACTTGTTTTGTATTCAACCCCCAAACTTCCTTGTTCCAAAAAAAACCCCTCCACAGGTCTCTAGAACTGGCACCTGAAAACTAAGAGGCAGAGCAAGGTTTGTCTGCTTGAGAGTTGCATAGCAACAAGTCCCGTTATAATATTTCCCAGACATTCTTATAAAGTTATTGAAAAGCATGGGGACTGGCCTGAATACCATAGCATTCCAGAAGTCACAAGGTGGAAAATCAGTCCCCCTAATTCCATCTTCTTCCAGAAAAGACCAGAGCCATCTTTGTAAGATGCATCAATCCATGTAGGATGAACACCAGGTGAATAATTTAAAATGGTACAATGATGTTATACAGGTCATCCTCAACTTACAACTATAAAGGTAAAGTTAAAGGTAAAGGTTTCCCTCGCACATATGTGCTAGTCGTTCCCGACTCTAGGGGGCAGTGCTCATCTCCGTTTCAAAACTGAAGAGCCAGCGCTGTCTGAAGACGTCTCCATGGTCATGTGGCCGGCATGACTAAACACCAAAGGTGCATGGAACACTGTTACCTTCCCACCAAAGGTGGTCCCTATTTTTCTACTTGCATTTTTTTAACCTGCTTTCGAACTGCTCGGTTGGCAGAAGCTGGGACAAGTAATGGGAGCTCACCCCATTATGCGGGACTAGGGATTCGAACCACTGAACTGCCAAACTTTTGATTGACAAACTCAGCATCTTAGCCACTGAGCCATCTAGTCCCACACTTACAACTATAATTGAGCCCAAAATTTCCATTGCTAAGCAAGACAGTTAAGTGAGTTGTGTCCCATTTAATGACATTTTTGCCAAAGTTATGTGAATCAGTGAACTTGCTAAGTGAACCATGCAGTTGTTAAGCGAATCGGGCTTCCCCCATTGATTTTGCTTGTTGGAAGCCAGCTGGGAAGGTTACAAATGGTGCTCACATGAACCAGGGACAGTGCAACAGTCATAAATACATGCCAGTTACCAAGCGCCTGAGTTTTGATCAAGGTTGTGGAGATGCTAGAACAGCCGTAAGTGTAAAAACCAGTCATAAGTCATTCTTTTCAGTGCCATTGTAATTTTGAACGGTCACTAAATGAATGGTTGTATGTCATGGACTATCTGTAGTGAAACAACTAGGAGAACTATTGCTGCCCTTCTTCATTTAACTGATGAAGGTTGGTCACAAAATTCTGAGCTTTCTTTGACATCTCTCAAGAGTATTTCCATGAACTTGTGTGAGAGACTATTAGACGGTGGGGTGAGTCCGACAGCAGCAGAATTGCTACTCGAGTTCTCAACATGTTTTCAGACATTTGACATTCAAACAATGAGTCCCTAATAAGGGAGATGGAAACTTTTCTAGATCATAGGCATTCCTTTTCCTTGTTTTTTGAGCTGTTCTCAGTATTACATTTGAAAAATACATCCTTTCTACTGGCTAACCTATGACTATCATTAAGTGTTGTACCTTATGATTCTTGATGAATGTATCTTTTCTTTTATGTACACTGAGAGCATATGCACCAAGACAAATTTCTTATCTGTCCAATCACACTTGACCAATAAAAATTCTATTCTATTCTATTCTATTCTATTCTATTCTATTCTATTCTATTCTATTCTATTCTATTCTATTCTATTCTATTCTATTCTATTCTATTCTAACCTAGATTTGAATAGCAGTATTAAACCTCAGAGAATTGCAGACAAATCATCACAGTCATGGCTCATATGTAATGATAAACCATAATACGTTTCATTTGGTTTGGCTCTGGCTGTATATGACAGGTGCATGTTATGGTTAGCATTATACAGGAATTCAGAGGGCTAAAAAATTTGGCTTGGATTAGGAGCAATAAACCAATGTAGGGTCAGGTTTCATACACTCTCATCTATGTTAAAAAATGTAGCCTGTTTCCTTTTAATGGAGCGATGCTTTCTGAATATATTCCTGCTCTGCTTGCATTACTCGGTAGGAAAAAACTCAAAGCAGAAAAGCACAGCTGGAACTTCTTTATACAAATGAGAAGGTGCAAAAAGAAATAGTTTAGCAAAATGTGCTAATATTGTTACGTGTAATTAGGAGTCCTTGGTGCTCTATGAGCTTGCTTGTTTTCTTGCAGACATTTCATTACCCTTAACTACGGTAGGTAGTATCATCAGTGCTAGTAAGGAGTGCTGTTTGCTGTCAGTTTATATTCTGGTGGCTTGCCTGTCTCTGTTGGTGGGGGAAGTTTTAGAGATTCTTTAGTTGGGCTGTTTACTGATATTCTCCTTTATTGGTAAGTGTAATTACACTCAAACATTTGCTATCCCGTAAACATGCAACTGCTCCCTAGGGAAAAATTCACAAGATCCCAGTTCCATTCCAGAGCAAATTAATACAGATCATGTGCAATGGCTGAAAGTTATTTTGATTATAGCAAACATGTAGTACTTTGAGTAACATTTGTCCTGCTTGCAGTAGATATTATTTCAAAGCTTCTTCATAAGTCAGTTGCACCTAGTGCAGAAACCAGAAGATGGTGTGTTCTAATCCTGCTACCTGTAAGCATGAAAGCCGGCTGGGTGAATTTGGGCCGGTCACTCTCAGCCCAACCCACCTCCAGGGTTGTTGTTGTGGGGGAAATAGGAGGAAGAGGGAGTATTAAATACTATGTTGCCAACTTGAATTATTTCTAAAAATAACATAGATGGAAATACGAACAAACTAACAAACCACATTGAGTTGAGGATGCTCTTCTCACCAAATCTTTTCCTGAAAAGAAAATTCAAGTTTCTCACAAGGAATGAAGCTGTCACTCTGGAACACTGTACATATTTATTTTATCATTTATTTAAATATCTATATTTTTGCATTTACAAACTTTAATAAGCACTCATCTCCCTGCTTCTTATTAAAAGCAGAGATTGCTTCTGTAATCTCTGAGGATCATGTACAAAACTAGATGACATTTATATATATATTTATATAATCTTTTAAGATTAACAAAGTGTGAAGAAAAACTAAAGCATAATCTATATCTAGTGGCTCTTTCACAAGTATTGGAAAATCAGTGCTCAGCTAGGGGTCCTAGAAGGCCAAGTTTATTTTTAACTGGTACAAAGTATAACTGAAGGTAATGTATCTCTGTTGGAATACAGTAACAAAATGTACAGATGATAGACGGATAGATCTACATTATTTTAGGTTCTTCTAAACCAGTGTTTCTCAACCTTGGTAGCTTGAAGATGGGTGGACTTCAACTCCCAGAATTCCCCAGCCAGCGCTGCCGGCTGAGGGATTCTGGGAGTTGAAGTCCACCCATCTTCAAGCTACCAAGGTTGAGAAACACTGTTCTAAACCAAAATGGCACCAAAACCAAGAAAAATATTTTAGAAGATTACCCTGATTACCAGCCATTGAGAACCAGCCTGATAGAATCTGTCATAACAAAAAAGATTCCCTTCAAGATTTATTCATTAATTAACGTTTGGATAACTTTTCCAGTACCATGATCGCTGGACCAGCTCAATAATTTTTTTTTTTTAAAAAAAACTTTTTTTAATAGGGAGATCGATCAATGTTGGCTGGAATAAAAGGAGGCTTTATTGCCACAGTGCTTCAAACTATTTCAAATACTGTATTTTACCAAACCAAACAAACAATTAAACAAAAATCAAACAGGGAATTGGGCCTGGAGAAGTAAACCGCACTAGGAACAGTATTTGGCAGCAGCTTATATCAGCGGACACTTGATGCTGTTTTGCAAATGGAGTAAGATGACACCAAATTCAAAAATGTGCACTCCCTCTAGGATACATTCCTAAAGTAACTAGTGTGATTGCATAATTCATATTGCACAATTGTATAAAACATAAATACTAGCTATCTGAGGTTTTAAATACAAAATACAGATCATGTATTATTTTAGACATAAATCCTTTTTTTTTTCAAGTGCAAAATCGATGTGCCTTTCTTCCTATAAAAACACATTTTGAAGGTACAAATGTAATCCTCCTCTTATAATATGCCAATATTTATAAGCCCCTTTCTTTCTCAGAGCAGTTCTATACATACAGTATAAAAAAAAATCAGGTTTATTTACATGAACTGGGAATACACTGAAGCAGCTTTAAGAACTGGATCTTAACTCTGGTATGAAGGAAGGAAATACAATGGGGAGACGAACCACCCATCCAATTTATGCTGGTTGTTGTGGGTTCACATTGATAGGAGGATGTCCTAGGAGACCAATACGCTGTTTTTGCTTCCTCTGCTCTGTCATCTGGAAAATTGAAACATTTACTCAGTAGAAACAAATACTTCCTGTACGTCAGACCACAGAATAAGCTACTGCTATTTATTGTGGTCATCTTTATTTCCCAAAGTTGATTGCAACAAGTAATACCCTCTTGCCAGCTACAGTTAGTGAAAACAAAGCTAACCCATTTCTTTACAAAGATTGGAAACAATCAGAGGGAACTGAGGCAACCCAATGCTAATCCTGTTATTTGATCAGAAGAACTGTTCTGTTAAGCCAATAGAGTTCGTTGTGATTTAACTCTGAATACAGTCTTTTTTCATATCTCTAAATATAGTATGTGCAGTAAACATCCTTGAAGCCCACAGTCTCCATATTCCAAAATAATTCTTCATCTTAAAGAAACTGGGTTTCCCCTTTTTCTGCTGGATCAAAGAAAACCTCTCATCACTACTATATTCCTAATTTTCATAATAGCAAGAATAAAATTTAAAAACTAAGTCAGGTGAAGATAAAAAACTTCAGTCATGTTTTTTTCCCCCACAAGACTAGTGAAGGTGAACCAAAGTGATAACTTAAATCATGTATTCTTGCCCACAAAGCAACAGTCATCTAGTACATTTTGTGACATTTCTATGTGCTTCATAGTTTTATATGATCTTGCAGGGAAGCAAGGAAAGTGGTCTATAACATCTGGAACTTGATGTGCAACCTTGGGGTACTTCCCAGTATTCCCAAACTATTATTGCTTTTAAAACAATAAGAATAGAGCCTCGGCCCTCTGCTCAGTCAAACACCACCAGATTAACAGATTTGGGAGATACTGAAACAAAATGCACTTCTAAAAAAATACCTTATAATAGCAAAGCTAAAAAAAGTCGCCTGGACAAGAGTAATTATGGTCCTGGATTAGTAATGGTGGCCTGACTAGAAACTAGAACAGAGGTAGAAATAAGAAATAGGGGGAATATTAGCAGATATAATTTTTATATAATAGAATGTAAGTAATAATTAGATGGAAAGATAGAAGTTGAAAGATGGTATTACTATGTATGCTTAATAATATCATTGGCATTAAAATGGAAGATTGAAATACTGAATAGCTACTCTAAAACAAACATGTATATTAATACTAGGATTATATAGGTTTGATTAATGTAACATATATTGTTATTATTATTATTGCTATTTGTATCAAAATGAATTGGACCCAGAGGCCACACTGTTCACGTACTGATATTGATGTATATTTAAAAATAAACATCTAATAAAACTTTTTTTAAAAAAAGAGTAATTATGGTCCTTAATCCCTTGAAATGTGATATACATTACAGAATTGAAAAAAAAATCGAAGAAGGAATAATATGACTGGAACTTTTGGCAAAAGTAGTATTTGGATTTGGAAAAAAACAAGATTACAGACAAACGTTTCAAGCTGCTTTATATATCCCATTCAAATTTGTCTTTTATTGAAAGTGGGGTGGGGGGAGTAGGTTGGTATTTGTTTGGAGTTCCACAAAATAAACTGTATCCACAAAATAACAGTAAGGCCGGTTTTACAGTATATGCAATATTATGACAATAAATGGACATAAACCCTGGATTTTGGCTCATCCTTCTCCGTATTCCCTCTTCTTCCTACTCTCAGTATGCAAAGCTTGGTAGTGTCAGCCCAGCATATGCCATTTTATCTCATCTAAAATAACTGTGATTTGCTTTTACGGACAAAAAGAAGAGATAAAACAGGATTGCAACAAACTAGGATTGAAAGTTGCTTATCTCCATAAGAAAGTAGAGAAAACGTTGTGGGTATCTGTAGCTTGTTCTTGTGGGCACAACTCATTGATTTGTCAATGAAATCGAAGACGGGGCCAAGAGTTCCTGACAGTCCATCAAAGGGAATTTAAAACTTCAGGCCAATTATACAATTATACAAAAGAAGGATGGAGCACAAAGTACTATACAGGAGAGTACATGGACCAAAAATCTTGACTGAACTTAAATTTGTGTGATTCTGCATTCTCAGCAGCATTCCACTGGGGATGTTATGGCATATTAAGTAATGAGGCTTCCTTATATTCTTTTGCTTGCTTTTTTTAAGAGAGAGTGAGGACAGAGGAAGTTTGATTTGTTTTACTATAGCTTACTGTCTTTGAAAATGTATTACTCATCTTGGCCAAGAACAAAAACAACATACATTTTAATCTGCTCAGTCAAAATGGGGATGGCAAGGGGAAACTTGTGAAATCAGATGTCAAAATGCCGATTTATTAACAGTACTATTGTTGATGTCTATATAGATCACATATACACGGGCAATTTTCCTGTTTCCCATTTAATCAGGTTTACACCTTTCTCAACCAGCCTTATGACCTTAGTTTGGTAAACATTTTTTCTATGTTTTGTACCTGATCTTTAAGTTCCGTCAGCTGACTGGAAAGGTTAGATACCAGCTTCATCGTTGATTCAAGCTTCTCTTGCAGGTTTCTAAGTTCATTTTGTTCTCCTTCTGAGTCGCTACTAACAAGTGACATGGCACGCATCCGGGGGAACCAATCCAGATTTCTTTCCTGAAATGTAATTTATTAAAATCATCTGCATCTTCATTATAAGCAAAAAGATATATTATCAAAGTTTCACAAACTTTGTGTAAAGAAGAGGAAAAAAAGCAAATAACCTCAAACCCTAAAATATTTGCCTTGGAATATTTATCTTGGAAAATTTGCCTGATGTTAAGAAGTCACAAAACAAACCATTATTAGAATAATTGCATGTCATAGTTTTGAAGCAATTTAATCCTTAGATTTAGTGAGGAAATATTTGGACTTTGATTGCCTGGAAACTTGTGCTCCTCCCTCCATTAATTCTTTCCTACTGACATTTTTTCTTCAATTTCCAGGAAGCAATCTGAAATTGCTTGAATTGAGAAAACATTAAGAGGAGGAAGGATGTAGAACAGGGCTGTCAAACTTGTGGCCTGCAGGCCAGATGCATCATGCACTGGCCACGCCCATGCCCGGTTTAGCGAAGGGGAAAAAAAGTCATGATACATCATGTGATGATACCATGACGACGCGAGTTTGACACCCCTGATGTAGAACACTGAAGCTTCATTGGAGAGAATTGCACTCTGGGTAACACTTTCAGTTTTTTCTCCCAAATGAAAGGATAAGTCTAGTTTATTGATCCTGATCATTCTGAGAATACGACATATTTTTAAAGAATTTAATGCAAAAATAATGTGATATGTTCACAAGAGAGAAAGTGGGTTTGTTTACTTGGCTTTTGGGCTTCTACCACAGGTGAAAGAGGGTCATTTTGTGGTCTATTCCTTGGCCACTCTGTGGAAGAATTGTTTATTTTAATGACTAGGCCTTCCTATTCTTACAGAAAACAGCCACCTAGAAAGGCAGATGTTATTTTATACAGTCCCATAAGTCAAGAAATTTGGAACACCTGAGAGCCCTGAATAGTTTTGTTATTTTTACATGATGAATATGGAGCACTAAGATAATGGAAAGAAAATTTGTTTGACTAGTTGGCCAAATATGGACTGAACACAGTATCCAATGTGTAACCTGTTAACCTCCAGTCACAGATAAGCATTTTAACTTCATATTTACTCTTCATTAACAAATTAATAGTCTGGAAATTTGTCGGTAAGTAACCCTGCCCATTGCATGTATACACTGATATATATTTACATCAATCTTAATATTACAATACAATATTACAATTATTGAAATCTATTGTAATATTGCAACACAGTATTATTCATTTTAGTGCTTCGATTCTTTGTTCTCCCACGTTGGGGATATTAAAATTCAGAGAACAGTTTGAGGAGGAAGTAAGAAAGCTGGGCTGTGTAGAAAGGTAACTTCTGAAACTGGAGCACAGCATATTTTGTATATCGTCATGATCCATGTCTTGTAAATACCAATTTCAACTCTTCGAATGGTAGCTAAGTTGTAAATCAAGTTGTATATCAAGAAATGAAATAACATATTTACATATGATTTAGGAATTCAACCATGTTACAACGGCACTAAAAATGTGACTTATGACCATTGCAGCAGTGCCATGGTCACTTCACAAAATTTCAGATGCTTGGCAACTGACTCATAATATAACTCATATTGCAGTGTCCCAGGGTCATGTGGTCACCTTTTGTGATCTTCTGACAAGCAAAGTCAATGAGGAAGCCAGATTCATTTAGCGCCCGTGTTACTAACTTAACAAATGCTACTAACTTGACAACAGTAGCAAGAAAGGTGGTAAAATGGGGCAAACCTCACTTAACAAATGTCTCACTGAAAAACAGAAATTTTGGGCTCAATTGTGGTCATAGGTTGAGGACTTCCTATAGTGTGATTTTCAAATGAATGTTTAACTGTGAATGTTTCAAAATAGCTATGCTCGTAGCTAATAAAATGCTATAAAATGCTTATAATTGTGTATGTGGGAATAGAAAGCTATATTTCTTTGGAAACCATTTGTTGCAAATACACTCATAAATTAAAAAACAACAACATTATTCTAGATAAATTATTGTGTCCCCACATAGGCCCTCAATGTTTATGTGGTTAGAAGAAGTAAAACTAAAAATGAGGTCAGTTACAAAAGACTTTCTTGGGAAAGTAATCAGCTTTGCCTTTTAATTCACCATACTAATCAGTTATATAGCTATTCTCAACAAACATAACCCATCATCTTAATATAAATTATTTAAGAACATTACTTCTTGAGTCACAACATTGTTTTGTCTCTGTAAGAACACTGACTCATTTTGCAACCTCCTACTCAAAACTGTATTCATTTAAAGGTTTTACTTTAAAGGACAAATCAAAAGATTAAGTTTTGCAATCAATTTTTGTTCAAGTTGAGTAGTGAAGGATGGTGCGTGCCAATGATGCAAGGATTTTTTTTACTCACACCAGGTGGGCCTTAGAGGAAGTTGACAGACCTTAGCAAAATTTTCTAAGGAGAAAGAGCTTATCAATCCCGCTAAGACTACCTTTCTTTTTTTAAAAAAACCTACTGTATTCCATATAAATGACATATTTCATTATACTTGACTATACGATGCACACATCTATAGGCAATCTGGTGATGCAAGTGCAAGCAGGTTTTCAACCATTAAATAAATGGAGCCATGGATTTATCTTTCCAATCTTGTAAGAATTGTATAAACGTATTAGAAATATATATGAATTTGAATGTATATGTATATTTGTATTATACATGTATATAAGGAATTGTAATGTTATAAAGTTACACTGACAGTTATTGTATGTTATGTTATACTGTATGTGTTATATGTTATAATAGGATGTGTCATTTACTAGGGTGAAAATTAATTTTTGCAATTTCTTTTCAGTGAGGGGTTCTAAAAATATGTGTTTTTACACCAAGAATTCAAAGCTGCTGTTATTTTTGCAATTGCACAACATTTAGCTTGGTAAATCCACATCTGATCACATACCCCACAAAAGTCTCTTGTAACTCACATACTGTTAACTGTATCTTCTCAAAATTATACCTTGTGCTACAAAAATTAAAAGGTTTTGTCTGCATGTTATCTAGCTAAGCAAAAAATAATCCATGCAATCATAAACTAACATCAGAAAGCAATTATCTGAGTTGCAAAAATCTCTAAGCGGGTTTCATCAAGTCTTGTTTTGATTCGTTCTTCGACATCCGCTGCCGACTTGCTTCTTGGCCTCTGATACAATCCTCACGTTTCTCATGTGTATACACTCTGCTTGCTGCCTTCTGTGACCTGTTTCACACATCTCTCTATTGATTGGGCATGACAGGGCCACTGTGGTAATTGCACTGGTTCATCAGTGAACTTCGTTATTTTCACTGTAGTCAGTTTGAACATCAAAGGTAGCTCATATCTTCAGACTAGTCAGTCAGCTCTAGCAGAATGAATGCTCTGGCATTGATTAAAGATGTTTTTCTTGCACGTACAGAAAAAATCTCCCAGCACGTCATTGTCTGCACCACTCAAGTCAATGATCTTTTGCACACCAGCTCTCCTCTCTTTAATGTCACTTGAACACTAGAGTGTCTGGATTATCATTTCACTGAAAACGTACCAAAGGCATCCGTTTTTTCTTTTGTCGTAATTTTTTTTTCCGTTAAAACACTTTTATCGATTCTTTTCCCCCCCTCTTTGACAATATATATATCTCCAACTAAATTATACTTGTATTTTGCTTTTTTGTTATTAATTAAAAAGCAATAAAATATAAATTAATAAAGAACAACATTATGATTTCTTTTCCTTGGGAAAACCAGTGACAAATTGGAAAGAATAAAATTGAGCAATTCCTAGGTTTACATACCTTGGTATAATTTCTCAAGCCACCACACTTTATAAGTTATCTTTAATAAGAGCCATTTCTGCCAAAGCTAACAATAGTACCAAGCCAATTATTTTCACTCCAACAATATAGTCCTATTATCATTAAGCTTTCTAGAGGTGAAACATATCCCATATGCTATATGGTACACAGGTATGCATCTACTATGATTTAAAGCCCGTCATTGCTCTTTCACTGTGCTTTTATTGCTTTAATCTGCAAAGAGGCTGATATGATTTCACCAGAAGCAAGAGCCCACATTCAAACTCTTATTGGCTTAAACCAGTTGTGAAATTTGGAAAGTGGGTGAAATAAAATTGATATGGTATAAGGTGATAGGTAACGTTACTGATTGCTTAGTTTAGGAAAAGGGATGTTATGTTTAGATATTAATATACTTAAAAGATTTGAATTAAGAGATATACGTATGGGGGTGGAGGAAATGGGTAGATTATGAGTAGAATAAATGCCAAATTAGGATTTATTATATAGTTTCATAGCCGAATGTTTTGTTTTGAAACGTATAGTATACGGGGGACATAATAATAATGTTAGAAAGAAATGTTTAGCACATAGGGGGTGGTGTAAAAGGGTGGTAAAGTATTATATAATGTGATATTAATTTGGATTTCATCTTGTAGAAGCCATGGGGAGAGGGAGGGGGGTTAGGGAGCGGGGGGGGGAAGGGGGAAAAATTTGTATTTGAAAAACTTTTTCAATTAAAAAAAAAAAACCAGTTGTGAAATCCAAATTTTTTTACTACCAGTTCTATGGGCGTGGCTTGGTGGGCGTGGTGTGGCTTGGTGGGCGTGGCAGGGGAAGGATACTGTAAAATCTCCATTCCCACCCCACTCTGGGGCCAGCCAGAGGTGGTATTTGCCGGTTCTCCGAACTACTCAACATTTCTGCTACCGGTTCTCCAGAACCTGTCAGAACCTGCTGGATTTCACCCCTGGCTTAAACTCTTGTTTTCTAATGGCCCATTGGCCCCATTAATTCTCCTTGATGGCTTTTCATCAAGCTGGAAAGAAAAAAACTTAGCTGGCCTATGGCATTTATACTTAGTCTTTGCTGCCTCTACATTTAGAGAGAGCTAAAACTGAAATCTGTCAAACCGTCTTTGACATTGCCAGGCAGATGCACCTAGGTGCTAAAGCCAGCATTCAGAGGTGGGTTCCAGATGAGATTTTTTTAAATCACTA